ATGTTGGTGTGGTGGGTCTAGGTTAAGTCCTCTGTGATGTTAACTCCCAGGAACTTAAAACTGCTGACCCTCTCCACTGCAGTCCCATTGATATCAATATCAGGTATGAATATATCAATGAATGATATCAATATCAGGTATGAATATTCCTCATAGCTGTTTAGTCATATGGAAAGCATTTAATCTTTTTTATACTGTCTCAAAATCTCAGTTACTGTCTCCAAATATTTGTCTTTGGAGAAGCTACCTAACAGTAGTATTTTGTCTTACTAGATGGAAATGTTGATGAGCATTTCCTCAGTTTATCCAGTGCTTTTTTGATGCACGTCATTCTGTCAGTTAATTGAATGAATCAGACTCTATAAGATGTGACATGACAGGCTCTATTATACAGTAAATAATTTTATATTTATAATACTACTTTGATATTATGGACTAAAGGCTGGGAAGTCCTTCTGCAAGCACAATAATTAAATTAAACCAAAGGAAAAGGCAAATTTTACAAAAAATAATTCAACCATAACAGACTGCTAAATCAGAACAAAATACCAATGTTTCCAGGTCATGACTGCTTAATGTAATTGCAGTGTCTACTTCATTTTTGCTGGGCAGTAAAATTGACCTCATGTTTATGACCGACTAACCTGTGGGAGAGAAATTATATTTTTATATAAAACTTATATCTTTTTGATAGCAGAATATCTTGGTATTAGATCATCAGATCAAAATGTTCCAGGCTAAATAGCTATGGAAACCCCCCAGCCTGGAATGAAAAACTTTTAACAGCATGAAAAATATTTACTTTATCTTGCTTCCAGGACGTCAGTCATCATCTGAAATGCTACAAAATAATGGATGATAAAAAAGAAGGGACAAGACGATACATAATATACTGAATTTGGCAAAACAAACTTAATACTTGCAAAATAATTATTTTTGTTGATACCAAATTTTATTGTTTTCTCTTGGCACAGTGTAATAGTGAAGAAGTGATGAAGAACAGCAGCCTGTGTTTCCTTCAATGAAATTAACAAGTTGAGCACAAGAGCACACAGGTCATATTTAATATTGATACATTGTTGGCACAAATAGGGCTCAAGACATTAATTTAAACATACTGTGTATGGAAATGCATCAAAATGCCACAGATCTATTATGAAACCAGCAGCATATGCTTTTTATTTAATGTCTCACGAAACATACCTCATGAACTCCTTGAATCAAGTAAAGTAACTTTAACTGGCCTGCTGCAGTGCCTCTGTAGCACACAGTGTTGTTTCTGCTGTTCAACCACATGTGTCTGTCAGTACGATTTGGATTTGGTCATCAGCAAAGTATTGGGGAACCCATGAAAATTGAACTCATTCAAAGAATGGTTCAACTCGAACTGTTAAAAAATCTCTATCTGTGAAAAAAAAATGTACATGCTCTTGTATTGGCTGGACACTGACCACCACATTTCGTTCCAAAGAACGACCGTTTCAAGAAGACAGGAGATGGAGACAACTGGCTAAAAGGGAGGAGGCCATCAGATGAAACGCTTGTTCTCTTCCAGGTAGTTGTAAGGGTCCCCTTCAAAAGGAAGGGGGGGCGGATGGTTGTACGTCCCCGTCAGGAATATGAACAAGGTCCCAAGGGTCATTACAGGGGTCACAATGAAGAGGCAAAGTCTGTCAACTGTCCTGGCTATCCCACTCCAATTGTCCTTTTCCTGTGAAGAGGTGTCACAGGAGAGGGAGTTAGGATACAGAGGGGGTTTAAAAGCTCTCTCAACATTGAGAAACAGCAGTTTCAAATAGAAAAATAGATGTGTCTCCTTAAATTTGTCTAAACCTCTGCAACACAGACTGTTTTAAAGACCCTTATAGCAGTCTAAATTATTGGGATATAGAAAAAGGATGAATGGAAAAATGCAGAAAAAAACCTGCCTTTTAACGTTTAACTACCAACAACTAACATCTGTGTCTTGCTCGCTATAAAAGAAACAGTTCAGTGTTTTTTATTTTTAAAAGATTCTTCACCCAACACTGCTTAGGAGTACTGTTACACTTACTTCATTGTAGTCATTTTTGTCCCGCATGTGCTTGACAATATAATTGGCACCATCCACTGCAGGCCTGATTTCAGCATATAACTGATCAGCAACATCAGCTTCGTTGCTTGATTTGTAGACTGAAAGGAAACACAAGTGTGGGAATCCAATCTGTTCATTTACACTCTTTTTCCATTAAGAAAAAAAGATAATTCTAAGACTGAATAAGCTTCAGTGCTTCCCTTTAATGTAATTAATTCAGATTCCAAGTCAGAATACTTAAACCTGCCTTCATCAACAGATTGTGAGGTAATTTATTATAGCAGATGGTACAGTGTGGCAAAAATTCTAATGTTCACTGAAAAGGAGAAATCTTGACTTAATTCTCCAGTAGTGTAGTTTTCTCATATTGTTAATGACAATAAACAAAAAGTCAGTGCTTTTCCTCCTATGATTCACTTTAACAATGTGTTTTAAGGAGACCTGACAGCGTCCAGCTGACCTGCAGCAGGTGTGGACCGGGGGGTCAGCCCATGCCTTTCAGATTGCTTCTCAAACATGAGCTCGCTGCGGGACTTCACGCTGTAGTACTCCTCAGCCTTGGCAATGTACCCCACAGAGCTGGAGCGCCGTGGCAGGGCTCCCTCCCAATGGGACTCGCTCTCTGCCGGCCTGGACATACGCAGGATTCTTGGCAGCCTCTCCAGGAAGAACTGACCAAGGCACAGAGATGGGAAATCACAGCATTCACACTTGAACACCCCAAGACTCACCCACCGTATTCACCTCTCTTGTGTCCTGAGTGCTCTCAAGACAGAGAAGGCCAAAGTATCACTTCCTTTCATTCCTGTATCATATCCATAAGGCATTGACAAAGCCTGGAAAACATGCTGAAATTTCAAGAAGTGATGTGGCGTGTGTTGGTATTTGCATTTATTTTATTTTTTTAAATAATGTTTGAATTGCTATTCTTCTGTGATTTAAAACGAAACTCTATATACTGTATAATGAGCTATAATGGGGTATGAAGATGTTTTATGGACACTGCCCAACACAGAACCTTTTAGGATATACTGTATTATGTCAAGAAGTTTATTGTCAGGACAAGCCAGGCAGGAGTAGCCTCTGAACTGAATGCTGGAATGGTTGGAGCAGCTCTTTCACTCCTAACACCTACAGAAAGAGACATACTGTACCTCTTTGGTCCAATCTGACATGATGTGAGTGCTGGGAGTTCGGAAGTGCAGGTTCAGGACTATAACACAATTCAGGACCACCACTGTGACTATCAGCATGATAAACATTAGGTACCTAAATCATGGGAAAATCAAAGCCACATGAGAAATGACAACTTTTTCTTTCCTTCTCTATTGTGCACGTATACAGTATAAAGAGAGTACTGCAAAGTTCCCAAAAAGTTTTTTTTTAAATAATGAAATCATTACATTTAACTGAACTTAGAAAAGGATTAACTTAAACTTTCCAGACCAAAGCATTTATTTCCTTAGAATCTGCATCTTTTTCTAAAGACATCATTTGAAGGATATTCAATGTTCAATGTTGAGAATAACCCAAGTAACCAGCATGTTGCAATGACACCCCCCTCCTTTTTAATTTTACCTTTATAAACTTGGAAATAAATCTGTTGAGGGGGAATGCTTAAATTAGATTAACAGCATTGTGTGATGATTCCCTGAACTAATACAATCACCGCTGACAAACATTAAAATGATTTTTTGGGTGAATTCAAGTTGCTGTTTTTCATATTTGCAGAATACAGATGTGTTGAATATTGATTTAACCTACTATATGCACAAAGATTAATTACAAGACTCGGGAACTTTGTGGGCACCTACTTGACAATGAGGGGGATGGCAAGAGATGTCTCAGGCAGACGCTGCGAAACCAGAAGCAGAAAGACAGACTGGGCAAGCAGCACGGAGATTGACAAGGTCATCTTCTCCCCACCTGCACAGTGACACAGGGGGTTAATAGCCACATGCATGCAGAGACATACTGTAGAGACAGCCTCACACGCCCCAAAGACAATGTGAGCTAAGACTGCATTAACAGTCAAGATCTGTAAGTGCCCAAGTGCTTACACCTGAATCCTTGCTATTGAGATAGTGTGAACATGTTCAGTGTTTTGTGTGTGGTAATTTGTTTGGTGCGAGTGAAGTTTTATTTAATCTCTGACCCAGGGAAAAGTGTGGTGTGGAGGGTTGAGGAGAGAATGCAGGCTCGCGCTGTGTCCGTTATTCTTTTCCTTCTTCTTGCTTGGTCTGCTAGTTTTTGTTTTGTTTTTAGCAATAAAGTTTGATAATCGGCCAGTGAAAGCTCTGTTTTCCTTCACATTAATGCCTAAAACCCTATACTGAATCCAGGATTGTACACTACTGTCAGCCTATTACTGCATCATGGGAAGGACTATACAGCCCTCTGATTGGAAATGTGAAAATTTCCTTTAGCAAGGAAGTGAAGACATTCAGGTATTAAATTCCAAGCCCATTTCCCTGAGAATGTCTAAACCAGTTTCTATTTACAGTATGTATCAGCCAATTAATATAAAACAAGAACTTACAGGATGGCTTTCCAAATAGTTAATGTTATTACCAAATAAAAAAAAATACCAAAAGCTTTACCTGATTTTCTCTTCTCACATGCAAATAATTTCACTTCTATAATGTTGAGAAAAATCACTAACCAAGAGAAGCCAGGATACTCACTGTCTGCAGGGAGGTAGTAGACTAGTGAAGCCATGAATGAAATGAGGACGCAGGGAGTAATGATGTTGATGATATAAAACAGGGGTTTCCGCTTGATAATGAGGTAGAAGGTAATATCCTGGTGTTTGCAGCTCTCAGGAGGGACATCTTTGTGAATGTTCTTCCTGGCTGGTTTGTGGATAATCTCCCACTCACCATTTTCTGCACAAATGACAAGGCAAGAGTTATTCGTCTTTTCAAAAAAGATTGAAGCATTAGGCCCCTGGACTGGATTTGCCATGACACAATCAAGGTGAGGTCATAAGATCTTTGTGCCTATTTGGTTTAAACTACAGCTCATACAATTTCAAAGAATACATTGTGTTGTATTACTTTGTGTTTTAATAGATTAGAAACAGTTTAGACTCTTGTTTCCTAGAATTTAGTATTAGAACTAGTTTAGGACTGGAGTTTAGACTACTTTAGGACTCTGAATTTGAAGTGAAAAAGAGAAGCTCTTCTCAAGCATCAGAATGCCTGGATGCTTTTGTTTGAAGTTGGGACATGGTGCTCAGGACTGAAAGCCAAAGATTCTGTGAAAAGGAGTAAGCTTGGTAGCATATGCTAGGTCATATTTCAGGCATTGTAGAGTTGGAGTACTGGTATAACAATTGTATACTGTAATAAAGGAAAATTTGAAATCGGTACTGAGATAGATGCATTGCAGTTACCTGTAAAACCAGCAGGGTCGATGATGATCCACTCCACTTCATAACTCTTGTTTGTTTCGGGGTCTGCTTCCCTTTTTAGATGCATGCTGATCTCCTTGGCGTTGTAGGTTAGAGAGCTCAAAAGAGAAGAGATGAGCCAATGTCAACAATGAAAGTCCAAAGCAGCAGGGAAACTTGTCTTATTCTGGTACAATATTAAAAGAACTAAGAAATTAGCTCAAAGAAAGACAAAGATGTGTGGAAATGTGGTTCCATTCAGATATCAAAAGCACATTGGCATTTCTAAAGCTTCTAAGTAAAAAACTACAGAGTGAAGCTGAACTTACCAAAACTAATCACAGGCCAACAAAAGCATGCAAAAGACAATTGCCAGCAATATTAAGTTGCATATAACTTTTTTTTTAAATTTAGTCCATTAGTTTAAACTAATCTAAAATTCGATCAATAACATTTGAGCTGAATTTGTCCAACACCATTATCTAAGATTTTAAATAATGAATGTGACTATCAAAATGTATTGGCTTCTTTCATTAGGTCAAAATGAGGCTACTTGTATTCAGCACACAATATTAAAGTGATTCAAGACATGTTATCTTCATCTACTCGCCTTCTCCTCCATTTCCCTTATCGTACCTGAACTTCAAGGAGCAGTTCTGCCAGTCAAAGGGGAAAAAGTTGACATTTATGGCACAGGAACTACGGAAAATTGCAGGTGGGAGCCAGTACATATATCCATTAGGGTAGATCAAGACATTACTGTAATAGGCCACTTGGAACTGTCCATCATTACTACATGGAAAAAAAAAACATATCTATTCAGTGCTGATGATGAAACTTGTCAAAGCAGAATACCTGTGTCATCTAAAAACCTACAGTACATATGCAGAAACAGTGGTTCTAAACCTTTCTAGTTATATGGTGAATATAAGCTAACCAAAATTTTCTAAAGGATGTTCTAAAAATGTAACTTTTCTAAAGGATTTTCTAAAAATGTAATTATACATGCATCCTACTGAAGTAGGTTGCCCATCTTCTCACTCATTGCTTATTTATCTCTGTTTCTCTCACAACATTATAAAACATTGTGAACAAAGTAGTGCTTAGGCATGCAGACTTCCCTATGTACAAAAGAAACTCCAGGGTCTTGTTTTAACATACAGAGATTATTTTGCTTTTCTACATACAGTACAGTATGTTTTCTAGTGCAGCTGACATGCATAAAACACCTATCTTAGTATACTTTTGATAATCCTGTATTTAGCATGACACACAAAACACAGAGGGCAAATATTGAGCAAATATTGGCTATGCTGCATATGTAGTTGGTTCAAGAACTCTGGTTTCACATCTTATGTGGGGCCATTCAGAAATATGAAGACCAAGAATGTAATTCACTTCAATTAAAAGAAAACTTACTTATTTTCCAAAACTATCTCTGGTAACCAGACCATCTGAGGTGGTAGACGCAGAACTGAGATGTTATCAAAATCTGAGGCATTCCATGACAGCCTGTCATCATACCAACCCTTGAAGACACATAAGAATTACTTCAAAACTGTGTACAGATTTAAAAATAAATAAAACCATTTATGAAAAAAAAAAACATTTTTCGGTATTGTATAATTTACATTTCTTGAATTCACACGGAATATAGTGTATTTTCAAGATGCGGAAGAAGACCACAGGAAGTGTTTGGAAGATGAGCTGCACAAAGAAACTTGTGCGGGAGAGCTTTTTTTTAAGTGGGGAAGCCATTGCACTGGGGCAGTCCCACTGTCTCAACCTCAGAAGCCTGGGTCCAGTGGTACGAGTAGTCATCATGACTGGAGACTCCCTTGGTTGCAGTGGATAGCCATGACACCTTTCTCTGCCTTGTCATGCCCTTTGCTTTCTACAGAGCATTGTAACAGTATAGTGTCCCATCACTGTATTAGCTGCAGTGGGTTGCCAGTTGCGAGCTGCAGGGTGATATGGCTGCTGGCCATACCACAGGAAGTACAGCATCACTAAATGGCATTTTAGTGTTTCAACTTCTTCACTTACATGTTCCATCCATACATTTGTAAGGAGAGTCTCATCTACTTCTTTCTGAAAGATAGCCAAAAGAAATAGATTATAGATTTCCCCCAGTAGAGAACTTATTCAAAACATTTGAAGAACTTTAAGGGAACTTAGAAAAAGTATCAGCTCTGTTAAATTTCTGAGTGGCTGGCTTTTAACTTTTGTGAATGTGAAACTGATTGATGTGCAGGGAATATAAGTAATCAAATCAGTGTACTTTACAGATCGTAGGAAGAGATTTTTAAAAATATTAAGTTGCTAAGGGAATAGTAAAAAGTTAAAAATCAAACAGAATTACTGTAAGTGTGTGATATATACAGTATAGCAGGCTGTAACCACTCATTCTGAGTTCATTTTTTGTACTAAGTTTGTGCTCCTTACTCCTGGTGCCGGACAACCACAGTTTATATTCTTCCATAACTCCTCATTACTTAATTGAATTACTTATTGACTTAACTTGTCATAAATTCAACTTTTTGAAGTCTTTAGTTGCTTGGGAGTACCCTATAAACTCTGCAGGGCCATGGGTGACTGGCTGGTAGAGTGGGGGTACAGTACAACGAAACACAAACCAGGGGACACAAGTGGAAACGACGCTATGTAGAAATGCAATGAAGACTCAGAGCCATGTCTATCCACAAAGGGTTCTGACAGTTTGGCAAAAGCTACCCAGCCATGTTGTTGAAGCTGATACCCTTGCTTTGAAGAAACAGCTGAATGATATTCTTGGATGAATTAGCAATTAAGTTTCAAACGATCTACTGTAGGTGGACCGAGTGGCCTCTCTTGTTTGTACACAATAACAATTTTTAAGTTCTAATGAGTAAGGAGCTCTGGTCTAACATATACTGAGTTCTATACTTTTGAACCCTGCTATACTTCTGAAAAGTTTTTATTACATGGCATTGAGCTGAAAAATGAATAAATGCATACTACTGTAGATGTGTGTGCTAGTTTACAATCTGACGCACCAGCGAGATGAGGTTGGAGAGCGTAAGGGCAAGGTAGACTTTCACCACATCATCTTTGTTTTGGACCGGTCGGAGCTCCTTGTTGTACGCACGCTCCTTGAACAGGTGCTGGATGAGGCGTTCCTCTTGATTGCGGCCCCAAGTATCTATGAAGCATCCAGAGACACAACAAGGTAAAGGACAGATCCATCACATGTCCTAGCAAAAGCTGCCAGCTGTCATTGACAGTGGACTTAATTGTAATTAGTGCTTTTAATAATTAAATAGAACTAGTTACAGTTAGTATTGTCCTGCTTCCGTTAGCACCAGATAAGCACAAGGGCTCTTGCATTTACAGCTGCAGGTGTTCCGAACCATCAGTTATCTTTTGCAGTGGGTCAGACATACTTATGTCCTTGAGATTCCTCAACAAAACGGGATCATAGGAATCATAGGTTTATGTTCAGTTTGAACGTTATAATTTACACCAGATCTTCTTTACAAGGTAAACTAGGACGTGCAAAGCACAGTAGATCCAACTGTTCACATCAATATATTTGAGCACTTCATTAAAGACCGGTAAGGATTTAAAAGGTGAAGGATTCAAATAATTTTGAAGAATCAAAAAAAAAAACCTCTAAGACAAAATAACAGCATTCAGGGAAGCCAAGAAGAATATTAAATATGAAATAGAAGAAGACATTCACTGACGGGAGTGTGAATCAATAATAAGTTGCTTTAGCTCATTAGCAGCTGGGTTGGAATGAAAAACTGCAGACATGCTTACCGTCCAGGACAAAAGTTTGACCTCCCTGGCTATGAGGTCATAGTTTACACTGAGAGGTCATCTTACCTTCCAAGCAAAACATCCATCAAAGTCAATCGAGTAAATATAGTTCAGATAAATGGCAGATACAACAAATCAAGAAAACGTTCTCCACTAAACATATCAGATCCAGTATTATTAGTTAAGGTGCAGTTGAGCTGAGCTCATGACAAGGAGTTGCTTCCAGGCCTACAGTTTGTTTCTATGTTTCTTTCTTTGTTTCTAGCAGCTTTCATCATAAACTTTGGTTAAACTAGTTATGAACTTAGTTTCTAGGGAATTAAGTTTCAAAGATTAGAGATTTCTCTAACATTTTCCAACATTCTTAATTTTACAACATGATAATTAAAAAATAATCATCTTTTGCCAAAGGACAACAAATGATCTCTTAAAATCCTGGATCCTGATCTTCTTACTCTAAATATTTACTATATTCTTGTGAGAGTGGATGTAACAATTCATTTCGAAGAAGATCATACTTCAAAGGTAATCAAGTAAAAAACAGGCTTCACCTAAATGTTTATATTACTCTAACATTAAAGTTGAAAATAACTTCTTCAAATAAAAAAGGCTATGAGGGTCTTCTGAATCTTTTAACTCTAGTATTTACAGTATTTATAGGCCATTTTTCAAGTTGGAATTCCTGTCACAAAAACTATAAAATGTTCCCCTTTTAGGTTCATTCACCAGTATAAATCCATAATGGTCATATCTAAGACTTACCTGTTGTGTAAAGGACAAGCACAAGCAGCAGATGAAGAGAAAAGGAGAAACTGCTCATGGCTGTTTTCTAGTATTCCAGTGTGCACAGACTCTCTCTTGCACTCTATAACTATCTGCTTACTGAAGAACATGAGCCTGAAATCCATCCTGCTCTGACGGAAGGAAACAGGTGCCAAACAGGGGAGAGAAAACAGATATGTGATCTCTCTCTTCCACTTGTGGCCCAGGCTGCTGTGAGTGATAGGCAGCGTGTCAAGGGGTTTTATTCGAATTGTGGCAGGAATGAAGAGGCAAGGATTGGGTTCCTAGAAATAGGAAGTATCTCCTAAATTACAGGTGTCTGGAAGAAATTCCCAAGCTATGTCCAATGGATGATGCTCCGGGAATCTCACACAATGTTCTGGTCTTTCAAATTTCTGCATAATTAAGCTACTATTACTGTAGGAATGAAATGAAAAAGACATCCATAGTTTGCTTTTTTTCATTGTAAAGTGTTATAAAATCCCATTAGAGAGCTATTTTATATTTAAAAACATCCAGGCTATGGAGTGGCAGTCAGTGTTGTTGCTTCATAAGTCTTGGTTCCTGTTTGATTATGGCCTGGATGACCAGGCAGATTGCAAGTTCTCCCTGCATGTGCTCATGTGAGTATTCTCCAGGCATTCGGGAGGCTGAAGTTTCTCCTTTCCCCATGATCTTGTGAAGGACTGGCATCACTCACCAGGACGCCTGGCTTACCGATCATAGAAATGGATGAAAAACCTCCCAAAAAATTGTGACAGTAAGACGTAAAACCTTTCAGGGGATGATTATCTTAGAGTTCTACAATTATTCTTCCATTTGAAACAGGAACCTTGAAATCGTGAATACCAGGCCCTCTTATTAAGTTCATATCTGATTTAAAACAAAACAAAAGGCTGTTTCTTGGTAAAGATGTTACAGAACAATCCTAGAATCCAGCCTATTTCCTTCATGTAGTACACATTATATCACAGAACAACATTGAAAGATCGATGCAGCTCTTTGTCCTGTCTTACAGGACAACAAAATGGAAAAGAACAGTCTTAAAATGTCTTCTTAAGAACTTAGGCAAGAAAAAAAAGGAATCATCCCAACATACTGTATACCAATAAAACAAGACTAAAATTCTCAATTGCTCCTGCTGAACTTGAGGGAAACATGTCAGAGGTCAGTGGGAGTGTGTGCCTGCTTGATGCTCTTCTGTCTATTTTTTGCATCAGTGAGGGGGATGGGCACCGTGCTGTCAGTCACCTATCAGAACAGCTGCTCTTGGAAGGCAGCAGAACGAGCCTGAGTTCAGTACATATATTGTATATACTGGGTGGGAGGAAAAGAATAAAGCCAAAATGAGCATGAACATTCAAACACTTAATTTTCCTGTTTGAATGTGTGCCTAATTGTTGCAATTCACATTAACAAAGTCCAGTAATTCACTAACGTTTATAGTTTATAGAACAACTACTTTTCGCAGTTTCTTTGTGAGAGCTTCCAACTTAAACCCCTGCAGTGAGGTTTGTACAAAGACACTTTCAAATTGTCTGCTTTCATTTTTAACTCCCCAAGCCCCTTCATTAAAAAATGTTAAGTTGTTTTTAATTGGGAACCACATAATAGGAACACTAATGTGAAATGAGGATAAGTGTATGGAATGATAAGCAATGTACTGTATTTCTAAACCTATAATATCTCACTTTATTTACATTTTTACACTAGATTTTATAACACATTTGTTTGCCTTGTCTTAAAATAAAGATTCGTTTTCATAACATACTCTGTTGTGATACCAGTGGAAAAATCCTTCACTTAAGAAGAAACAGGTAACATATTTCTAACTTGTCACTCCTCCAGGTCTCCAGTATTTGTAAAATGTGACTGGGGCTTTTTTGTTTTATGACTATACAGTACATTAGAAATATAGGATTAATTAGCAGTTCTTCCAACATCATACATACAGCATGACTTTTTTAAAAATGAGGGTTTTATTTTTTTAACAAAAATACAAAGCATTCTTCTCTATACAAATAAATATATCATAAAAATTAAGAATTACATTACATTTACAGTCTTGTATTTTTTTAAAGGTTCAACCTTTGTCAAAACAATTCTTTAACTTATCATGTGGACATCTGTACATATCTATAAACAGGTTTTAACATAAGACTGAGAACTGGATCTAAACACAGGCGAGATCACCTAATTTGGTAGACTCTGATTACAGAATTTCACTTCAGCACTCAACACTGGCTAGAAATTCCAGAACTTGAAATTCAGGATCAATTTTTTTCTTGTATTAGTAGTTGATGGCTCTTGTGAATGATGTTTTCTTCTAAAAGAGTTTCATATATTTTGCAGTACTTTGAAAAAGTACTGCCCTTAAATATTTAAGAGTTGGCACAACAAAAATCTATAACAAGGCATAAGCACTGCATGGCAACCATCAAAGCAAACCAGGACAACAGGATGAAATTCAAGGGTTCAAGGGGTTCAAAGAAAGGATTCCATGTAGATCAATTCAGATTGGGACAATTGTAAATACAAATAAGAACATCTAATGTGCATAAAACCAAGATCTATTGTCCATCTTCCTGCTGTGTAACTAGAGGAAGATGTCTGGGTAAAGATAAAGTTCAGACTCTGCCACACAGCTGGATTCCACATTCATAAACCTGCTGTTTCATATATGTTTAATGTATCATTTTGGCATTCGGGGGACTGTGTCGTTCAAAGATGCTGACAGACAGGCCACCTGGAGAGACTGAGATTCCGTGCACCATGCCTGCTAGACATGCTTGGCTATTCTAACCTTATGTCTTAAGTGCATCGAGCGCCAGAGCAATGACCCGAGGCATGCTGCGGTAGAACGACTCACTCTCCAATCCCACCAGGCTGTAGAACGTGAAAGGCCGTCCACCAACTGTGGCTCGAACCCGCGCCTCATACAGGCCTTTCTCATTCTTGGAGGCGATGTCCACAAGCACCTGTTAACAAGCAGGACACACATCTGTTGCGCTGCAGAACCTAAATGTCCTTCATGATGTTTGCAAAACAATACTTCTCCATCAAACCAAAAGAAGCAAAATGGACGCACTGTAGTTCCGAGAAAAGCCTGCGGTAAGACACAGTGGAATCGCTATCACTTAAGCCAGCAGGTGTATAGTTCTCCACATACAGTAAGGTTTCTCATCACAGTTGGTAAACTGATTTTTATTTATCCCGGTGCTTGTTAATTACAGTGCAGCAAACTGAGCTCCACATGAGCTCAGGTTACAAAACTCGGTGGATTCAATTTAATATAACAGATATTTCTAGGTTTCTTATTGACTTCAAAGTTGAGTTGCTTTTTATTCTTTTTAGGTCCCATGTGAGGTTGGGACCTAAAGGGAAACTGGCAATCAACTGCAGAGATAAATAAGAGAATATGACAGGGAGCTCACCTCTTGGAAGGTCATACAGAGGTTCTTGCTGGGAATTCCCAGTATCCAGCGGTATGCCTCCCTGACCATATTAACATGCTGTGCAGATTCACTCTCACCAGGGCACAGTGCTGCAACATCAGAGCAATCTGTTAGCATTTAGCCATATGACTTATTATTTTAGTACTAACAGCTTTACAATCTTTCATCTCTGATCTCTTAATACTCACACATAGTCTTTTCGTCAACTCTAAACTACAGTCCAAATTCCCTTCCTGTTAAAATAAGACTCAAAGAGCTCTTATATTATTTGTTTCTTACCTTTGTTGCTGGTCCCAGACACCTGTCGCTTGCGCAGATTTCGATGTCTCGGATAGACCTCTAAAAACAATATATTCATTGGGTAAGGGTTACGTCGGGAATCCAGAGAGATCAATCTCCAGTACCGAACACTGCAGAAACCCGGACAAATGGCATAGTAGTTGACACCCTGCACTCCTAAATGCCTAGGGCCACTGGGATCATAATTCATAATAATGGATCTCAGCCACAGACATTGCAACAATTTTTCATACATTCTCTCATCTGAGGTAATGGCAAGTTAATAATAGTTCTTAATACTGCCATCAACACAGTCCGACCAATAAAACACTGGTCTGACATTATTTAAATATTTAAAAAGTTTAATTCAAGTCTATAAGAATCCATAATTCGAATTTAAAATGGTATTAGGCAGCACTACACTTCAATTTCAGAAATTCAGTAGCAGTTACTGCACTGTACAGCATGGATAGCAGTCTGAGTAAACAGTGAATGTCTATTTTCTAGACTATATGTTTTTTAAACTACATATTGAAACTCATATAGTCCATTTATAGAAAGCGAAGGGCTATCAAACTCAGTTCCTAAGGAAAGTGCATTTTTTGGGCTTTGTTTCAACCTGAATAGTCAATTCAACAATTAACAATTATTTTCTGATAGAAATATAGAATAATTCTTAAGGTCTTTTACCATTGATTACTTAAAACATCAACTTCCTTAAAGGTACAGTTATTCATAAAATACCTCTAAGTCAAATTGGAAGTATTACAACTAAGTGGTTAATTAATTAACTATGTAATAGCTTCAGGTGGAACCAAACCAAGAAGACTCTAGGGGTAGTGGAGTAGAATATCATATCCCTGATTTAGAGTATGTGGGAAGACTGGAGAGAAGTACAGGGAGTAGTACCTTCTCCCCTGGAAAGATGGGTCATTAGAAAGGCAATAACTTGTGAGTTTGGGTCCCTTGCTAGAAATGTTGAGGGGTGAGTGGTCTAGTCCATTAAGATCTGCCAGGTCTCGTCTTAAAACAGTGAATTCATTTGAATAAATTAAATACATTCAACATTGTTTATCCACATTTGCAAAGGAAGCTTACCCATCTGTTTTGTGAAAGATGACTCTATGGCTGGCTGGGATGCAGCAAAAACAGTCCCCGTGGGGGAAGAGGGTAATGTGTTCGATCCACCTCTTATGAGAGCATGTGCCTGGGTTGAAGACTCAGAAAATGCTGGTTTATATTCTACAGTAGATGCCTTGACTGTACTGGGTTCATGCTGTTCAAATGCAGCTGTCGCATGTGCTAGATCAGACCCCTGGGGCATAGAGGTAGTAAGCTCTCCATAACTTCCCTTCGTTGTCCTGGCTTTGAGTTCCCCTGCTGCAGAAATGGCGGATATTAGGGTAGGTTCCTGAAGTTCGGGAGAAGCAGTGAGTGTTGATGTCCTTTTTAGGCCTGGCTCTCCATCTACACCTTGCAGAGGTTTTTTCTCTTGAAGAGGCTCTATGTACTTGTCCATTGCTGATGAAGCCACCCCAGAACCCAGCTTGGAGTGCAGAAGCTCAATGAGAGAGCGATACTCCCTCTCCAGCTTGTGTACAGCAGGGGCCTCAGCCTGCAAACCAAATGGCAGAGAAACATTTTAGCTACTAAGTAATAAAATATAAAGGTAAATTATGTCAACTGCAGCTTTTTCTTTTTTGAATAAATTACAATGTCCTTTTAATCCTCCACTCTGAACCAGGACTGGACTTCCACTTCACAAGCCAGACTACATTTCTGTCCAAGGCTGAAATCTCAGAAGCTTTTCAGTTTCATAACCAGGAACCATCTACACACAACAAATGATGTATTATATCAAATAAAGATTAAGAAAAGGACTGAAGTACTGAGCTGTAAGGTGCAGGGGTCTCAGCACCTGATGCACGTACAGTACCTGTAGAAATAAGGTCTTCTCCTGGTGTGGTGATTTGTGGTCCTTATGGTTGGTCAGGTTATCCAGATCCTCAGCAATCCCCCTGAGGTACTCAGCCCAGTCCTCCACAAGAGGTCCCACCTCCTTAAAAAGGGGGATTGTGCGGCCAGCAACATCTCCGGGCTGGACAGACAGCGCTACCTGCTCTTTTAGAATAATACCTTCGTTAGCCAAGGGAAATGCCTTTTTCAAAGACAATACAGCTCAAAGTTAGGGAAGTTGTGTGTACATCCTGTTCAATTGAGTTGCAGTTGTTTTGTTGCACTTGCTTAGCACGGTGAAGTCTGTAGTATTTTAGTTCCTGTTCCAGTTGAAAGGAGAGAGAGAGGAAGGAGAGGAGACAGCATGACATAAGGTCCACCTGCCGAGCTGTTGCCACTGCTGCCATTGTGACATGGATTTAGGCCCCTTTCCTGACATAGCAAAATCTCATTTGCTGTTACAGTATGTGTTGCCCTAACACCCAAGCTTACAACATGCTACTGTAGCTCCTGTAGGTTTACTGGTGTCCCTAACGTGTTTCCTGTCTGTGAGTGCTGTGATGGACTCATGGACACCCATGTCAAGGGTGAGGTCCTGACTTCAGGGACAGGCTCCAGACTGCTGCATTCTGGTAGTAGAATCAATGACTGTGTGTAACAGCATGCTCAACTGTGACATGAAACAAAATCCACATCTATGTCAATTCACGGGGAATTTATTTTGTAATTTAAAAATGGAAGCATTTAAGGGCAAAATGTTCTCAAACCATAGTGGAAAAAATGTACGGCTTCGGGCAAACAACATTCAGAGTTTGCACAATTTTCAAAAGAGCAAAAAATGTAAATACATATCAAAACAGATGTTAGTATAAACTGTCTCAAGACGGCCGCAGCTATCAGCTCTGTGACAGTCAGAGTAAGTAAACGTGGGAGTGCTGTACCTGTTTGGGAAGGCGCCTCCCTGCGCTCACGGGTGGTGAAGGCAGTGCTGTAGATGTGCTCCACCAGCTGAGGGAGAGTCTTTGTGAAGAAGGACAGGTCCACCTTTTCTCTGATGTAGACATCTGCTCGCTGCAGGAGGTCCAGCAGAGTCTGCAGAAAGGAGCGCAGTTCTGCCAACAAAACGCCAGAGAGCACCAGTGAGCACAAACACACTCCCTGCGCTCAACCAGGCCTCACAAATGAGCAGTGCTGGCAGTTTGATTATCCGCGGAAAACACCTCTAAGCACTGGAACAAATGCTGCTTTGTAGGATCTATTTTTCTAGCTTTACTGAGTGTCAGTAAAGACTGACTGTGGAAAAAAATGTTATTATTTAAAGCTATTATTGCTATTATAGGAATCTGAGGCCAACAGCCAAAATAAAGTAAAGGGCATTATAAGCATTATATCTCAAGAGAGGAATGGCTTTCAGGATGTCAAAGTAGCCTAGAGGGCCTTCTAGAGTCACTGAGAAAAAACCCTGACAGTGGCCATCACACTGAAATTCAATGCTTACAGTCAGGAGCTCAGGCAAAAGTCAAGCAGCACTTCCAGACTTTCCTTTTTTAGAAATGTGGATGAGTGCTTGTGGATATGAAGCGAGGTCATGTTTGGGCTGAGAGAAGCCCTTTCTACAAACAAGCGACTGCACAGTAGGCACAGCAGGTGAAATGCCTCAACGTGCACGTGCAACGTGCAACGTGCACAGCAGTGCGCCTCAACATGCACGTCTGGCCCTGCCTGGAGAAGGGAGTGTGGCGGGGCCCAGGCTTTTCTCTGACGACAGCACGGCAAGTTTCACGCGGAGGTGAGCTGGCGCGTGTGCAGAAACACTCACGGCACTTTTTGTAGCGGGTGCGACACTTGTCCTCGGCCAGGTGGGTGCAAGCGGCAGTGCCCATTAGCGGGGAGCAGGAGTTGACATAAAAGCGGCACAGGGCACTGAACTCTGACCTCTGCTGCTCCTCTGACAGCTCTGATGTGCGCAGCAGCTCGGGACAGGTAGGCTCCCTACTCCCCAAGGACTCTAAAAAAGAAAAGTGTGGAACTTATCATAATAATTCCTTACACTATCAGTGTTATATAGCACTTTTCTGGTCACTCTGCCACCACCATCCACCTGAATGTGATGGCAGCCAAAGTGCAGAGGAATGCTCACCACACATCAGCTATCAGTGGGGAGGAGAAGAGAATGATGAAGCCAGTTCATAGAGGGCTTTTTTTTTTTGGGGGGGGGGGCATGATTGATAAAGGCCAGGGGGAAATTTAGCCAGGACACTGGGGTAACACCTCTACTCTTTTCAAGAGACACTGAAGAATTTTTAATGACTACAGAAAGTCAGGATCTTTTACATCTCATCCAAAGGACGGTGCCTTTTTACAGTATAGTGTCCCCATCACTATACTAGGGCATTAGCAGTAACAAAGACTGCAGGCTGAGTGCCCCCTACTGGTACCTTTAACACCCATAAAGCAGCAACCTTGGCTGGCAAGTCTCCCATCCAGGTACTGGCCAGGCTCACACCTGCTTAGCTTCAGTAGGTGGCAAGTTGTGAGTTGCAGGGTGATATAGCTGCTCACAACTTGTTAGGTCTATCCTACTAATGTGCTAAGGACAGTTAATGATCCTGAAGCCTTACCAGACTTGGGTTTAGAACAATATTACTGAATTTGCATCACATATTTTGTGCTATGGTGCAAAGCTTTAGTTTTATATTTAGGATTTTACTCTGGTGACAATGCAGCCCTACCATCAATATGCACATAGAAATCTTTCTAAGAAATCAAGATATGTACATAGAAATCAAGCTTTCTAAGATGACTGCGAACTGACTGACAAGAGAAAGCAATTTATTAAAATACAACATACACTACTTTACAGCACAGAACACTACATATAAGAATAACCCCAAGAGATCATCTCACTTCTCCACAATCAAGAGCAGTTAAGCAGAGTATAGAGCAGCTCCGTGCTTTGCCTTACTCTGTATCTCACTGCGGACCCAGTCAGAGAACGCGGTCACACGGGTGTACACCCCAGGCTTCCCCCTCACTCCACAGCCATCCCCCCAGGATGTGATGCCATACAGCTGGAACCGTCCTGAAACAGGGTCCTGACAGGTCAGGGGGCCTCCCGAATCACCCTGCTCGAAAAGAGCAAACACAGAGCTGGGAAAGGAGCTCGAACTGACTGACAAAATTCAATAGGAAAATCTACTGTATCTGTAACACATACACCATGCAATATAAAATATTATATGAGCAAAGCTTCCTAACGTTTTTTCATTAAAAATGTCCTTATATACATTTTTTACCTTGAACAGGAGGCATTTCTGAAGGCTGTATAGATCTCACACGCTACGTCAAACTCTTATCATACCAGTCTTTCCACTCTCCAGGTCAGTGATATTGGCAGAGTCTATGGTGCACATGTACAGCTAGAACGCACCTGGCAGGAATCAATGCCCCCAGAGAGGTAGCCAGCACAGAACATGGTGTTGGTGACCAGCTCCTTGCCAAGAGCACTTTTACAGGTGTTCTGAGAGAGAATGGGCACTTTGGCTTCCATGACCACATCAGCAGAGGGGCCATCTAGAAAGACAGGAGCGGTGAGGTCAGTCATTTTCCCATCAGTGCCCATGTGCCCAGAGGAGACTCGGGAAATTTTGGAGCTAAATGAACCTCCCACTGGCCTAAGAAAACATAGCTCAGATTTCAACTGTATTCAAATGAGAAAATAAATATACTCACTACATACAGTAGTATGCAACAGTATAAAGCTGGATCTAAATAATAATTGATAAGCTTTTAAAATATAAATAATTTGTTAAAGCATTTAGTGATGATCTGTAGTTTATCACTTCAGTCTTTAGTTTACAATTTAGTAAAGCATTTAGTAATAATCTCTCTAAAACCCTTAGTTTCAAACCCCTGCAAGGCCGCTGCCCCCTTACCTTCATAGAGAGAGCCCCAGCCAGCCACTGAGCAGGGTGTCCCCACGGCTGGCTCCTCCCCCGAGGGCAGACACACAGGAGTCACCCTGTCAGAGAGGACCACCGGAGACGTCAGCTCCACCAGGGCAATGTCGTTGTTAAAGGTCTTCTTGTTGAACTGCAGAAAAGAGAAAACTCTCAGACAAAGTCACCTCCATCCCAACACTGGAAGATCTTTTAATGTTGTATTATTCCAGTGTTCAGAATTGAGCTTACCGGATTTCTAATTCTAACAGAGTGTAAAGTGTGCACTAACCCAATGTACAGAAAACAGAGAATAATCACAGTGGCGTACACATTGTATATTGATTTTATAACACAACGGCAATGAGGCCACGGAGGCAGTTGTACACCTCACAAAAGCAAGACTCTGCAAGCAGCCAAAAATGACAAAATGACTGATGCGAATCAGGTTACTGGTCATTTATCCAGATTTGTATTTTCTTAAACAGTTTTGGTTTTGCTGTGACAAGGTTATCTTTAGTAGTCATGTCCGGGACTGTCCGGGAATATTTTCACCTACAAGTATCACTTTCTACAGAATCGTGCCTTTTATCACCGTGCTGATTCTGTCTAATCTTTAACTTTAAATGGTATGATTGGTGAGATTTTGATAAGACCTGACTGAAGGGCGTGCCAGACCCACCGACAGAAAGGGAAAGAACAAACACTGCCATCAGACACACAGGACAGAGACACATTGACACACACTGAGACGAGACTGGTCGAGACCTTGGGGTGACTGATGATGCGGTTGACCTTCATGACTTGTTCTTCAGCGTCAGTCTTTGTGATGTCAAACTCCCCCACCACCGCAGTCCAGGAATTTTCACTACGGCTCCTGCAAGAAAAATAAGAGTCTGCTTGCAAAACTACCAGAGCAAAAAACACTAGCCAATCCCACAGCAAGATGTAAAGGTGATCAGTGAAATTCCAACCTCCAGATTTAGCTCAATGTAGCATTTTCTCCCACATACAACACAACACAAAACACTAACGCGCACAAGCACATACTGTATAAATATGCACACATATTCCACTTGACTTCTCTTTGCTTTCATGCGCTGCCAAATAAGTAACGAGTGCTGATTTATAATCAATAAACTTCACAAGAATGGCAAGGAACTCACCCAGTGAAACAGTGGGCAGCTGTCAGGACCCAGGTGCTATCCACAAGTACCCCACCACACATTAGTTCTCCCTCCAGCCTCAGATTGACCAGCCAGGGCCAAGCACCAGGGGCAGCAGGAAAGCCCCCCACTATTCTTGAGCGTGGCTGAGTAACATTCTGTACTGCCACCATCTTTCTCCCACACACTCCTGGGAGAAAAGGACCAGAAAAGTGGAATGGGTCAGAGTAATGTCCCACAAATTGCTAAGACGATTATTAGAAGCGAAAGTTGAAACACAGGCAAAGGTACCTAGGCCTTTAGTCTCGGACACCGTATCCAGGTTCTGCATGGTGTTCAGTAACCCTGTCAGAGGAAACACCCAGTCAATCAAAAGTTATGGCTGTCAGTCTCTCTCTCCATTTACCTGCCAGTGCATTTAACTATAAATTACATTTGATTCCTAACACTAATGGGTAAAACAGATAATAATCGTTGTCTTTGTATTTCACTGTTTACTCTTAACAGATATGCAGTCTAAATAAAAGAGAAGGGACTCATGCTTGTTCATCAAAGCAAAATATATTCACTATTTTGACCGTATTAGATCTGTATGATGGACGTACAATACTGAATAAGTGATTGGTTACCAAATTGGAGCTCATGCTCTTTAATGCTTTGAAAAAACGATCTGACAACTTGCATGTTGTCCACTGAAATCAGTGCCAGTGATCAAAAGGCTAATCAGAACTCTACTCACTGCACTGCAGGACACGGGCGCTGCAGCTCTCTCCCATGATCCTGATACAGCTCTCCTTCCCCACCTCTCCAGCCTGGCAGCGTCGCTGGTAGTACCCACATGCCTGGCTCAGTGCCCAGTTACGATCCCTCTCATCCGATAGCCTCTGTGCCTGGTCAATCACCTCACAGCTGGGCTCTGAAGAGCCAGCTTGTAATGGATCTGCAAAATAAAGTACAAGCTCATGTAGATAATTTGTTTAGCGTGAACTATGTGTGGAGACTTTGAGCCTTAAGAGCTAACAGGTTTCTCTAGGAAATTAATGTGCTAATTACATACCTTACAATTAGCTGGAATCCTTACAATTGATTGCAATTCTTGTCAAGTTTTTTTTTTTTTGGGGGGGGAGCATATTACCTTCCAGCAAGTAGATTAATTGAGCAGCTGAGAGATCAGTCAGAAACAAAATTAGGAGGCACCATGTCTGAAGTCTGAAGTCTGGCCCTAATCCCCACACATACCCCGAGGTCCAACGGCGTGTTCTTACCGCAAGGTCCTGTGCGCTGTCCACAGTCCTGAAAGAGGCAGGGCGGGCAGCCCTTGCAGCCCCGCTCCGCCCGGCTCCGTTCCGACACTGCCAGCTCCAAGGCGGAGAGGGCACTGGCCAGGGCCGCCTCCAGCACCACCGTACCGCGCTCTGACAGGGCTGCCCGGGCACCGGGAGAGAGAAAGCAGGGTGGCAGCTGTCAACAGTGGGGCTCAGATACAAGACACTGACTACTTGAAAATACTGCGTACTGGGAAAGCAAGATAGAGGTCTCAACGGGAAAGGCAAGGCTGTTTTGAAAAAATCCTTATGCCTCACTGCACAAATTAGACATACGGGTTTAAACACAAATGAAAAGCTACTGTAGGTTTAGGGTCTTCTATTTCCGTTTTAACCCTGTTCCTGTGGTCTTGTGTTTTTGACAGTTTAAGGTAATGTCCCAAACCTTATGGAATGCTGCATTTGAGGTCCAGTCTCAAAGCTATTAGAATTGGAGATAGATAAGGAGAGATACAGGGATAAGAGATACAGTTAAGAGTTCTGAAGTGTTAGATGGTTCCATCTAAATTGGAGATATTGCACAAGAAAGCTCATAGGAGGGTGCACGTACGGTGTTATTTCCATTGCACTATGGTGTAATAAACCTTCACAGGAGAGCTATTTTTGCATAGAGCAGAGAAAAGCAGGGAAAACTGTTAAAAATACAGCTCTTCCAGTCCAAGTAAACAGAAAGTTATTAACATTCTCTGAGCTGTTTGAAGACTTAGACACCCAGGACAAGGCTTTCTGATGAGCCTGGACTTTTCTTCTCAGTGCAATGAATAGTATAATGCAATTTCATTTAAAAAGTAACAGAAGAGAAAACAGAAATCCAAGAATTGATTTTCTATGAGAAATATAATATAAAGAAGGCACAGTTTTGCAAGTTAACCATTGTAAATCTGCAAGTCATGTTCACAAGGATCTCACTTTCTAATTCCTGCATTTATTTTGCTTTAACTTTCCTTTGCCTTTCTGTTCTTTCACCATATCACTGAACTTTACTTTAATCTCCTTTTACCATGTTGTATCACAGTAAATATTTAGAAGCATAATTTGATATATATTTGTATTATTATAATTCTATGTATATGATTCTTTACCTTAGTGTTCTCTCCTGTGTTGAAGTACTATTCCAGTTATCACAGTTTCCATAAAAACACTTGCAAAATTTTATTGCCAGACACATTAACATCATACTCCAGCGCTATTAGAATAGTATTACAGTGCAACATTACCATGCTTTCCACAGTCTATAACTGTGTTGAGAAGTATTTTGGAAACTACTGTACAGTATATTTGCATAAGACTGGAAAAGACAATATACAGTAGAAATGAAATACACAAAACTAGTTTAACCAGAGATCAGCATGTAAGAAATACAAATGACAGGAAAGTGAACCGGATGAATACTATTGGCAAGTTTGAACCTGAGAATCATTTCACCTCACTTACTACTTAAAGATGTTGACTTCCAGAATTGGTGGTATTGTTGCAGCTTGACTTTTTTATTTTCAAATAACTATGCTGATAACTTAAATTGCTTACAGTATTTCTAGTGCTTACAGTATTTACAGTAGTGTTATAAGGTCTCAATACATTTACTAAGATCTTATGTATTGAAGTCTAAACCTAGCACTAAAAGGATTTTAATGAATAGAAATATTCAACTGTATGTCTCTACAGAGATAAACTATTCATCCAGAACTAATCCTATTACGTCTTTATTTAATTTTTCAAAAAATACATAGTATTGCATTTTAAGATTTCACTTACTTATCATGATCATATTGTAGTTGTATTGATCAAAGTAAAATAGTGTAGTCTCGCTGGGTGTAATCAAAATAGTCAATGTAGGCATTGAAAATTAATGTTCACATGTAATTCAATGTATAAATTGGAAAAGTCTGCAAGATTTTTTTTCAAATGTTCAATATTATTTTTTCTTGGGTCATTTAATGTATTTGCAAAATCCAGTAAATAGCCATATTATTAATGTGACAACACAGCACTACCTTTGCCCCATCAGAAGAAATCCTAAAACACACACGATATAGCAGACACATGCAGACACGCCACCCAAGAGAAGAGTAGGAAATGTTTCTACCTTGTAAAGTGCTTTGAGGCAGCCTATAGACTTCTCTTCCTGTAGGTGCAGCAAAACTGCAATCCAAGATTTGCAGAAGATAGACCAGCAACATTCTCAGTTATTAAAAAGAAAAGAAAAAACAGTTTTAAAATCAGAACCTAAGTCTGATGCCTTCAGGAATCGCCAGGGCCTTTTTATTTCAGGGTTTCTGTAGTAGCAGTCTCCCAGCTCCCTAGTCTCTCAGCTTTCTCCCAGACTTGCTTGAGGGGCATCTGTCTACAAGTTTACTTCAAGAACAATGGACAGGGAGGTGCGTGTAGCTGCCTGGGGTATATATAGAGTCCAGTGGGGTACAGCAGAAGGGGGGCTGTTTGGTTAGTAGGGGGTGTTTCCATGGCCAATGCACAAACAGCTGAATTCATTAAGACGGTGACAGCAAACCATCTAAAACTTGCCAAGGCTAGAAATTAAAAAGGGGCTTGGTTCTGTGTAAAAGGAGGGGGGGAAGTTGTTGTTTGAATTCATTAGCACTGGAAAGAAAGTTAGGGAAGAGATGGCTGTGGTCTGTAGTGCTTGGAAAGAGAATGAGAGAAAGGGGGGACGTCTGCTATTCTGCTTGTCTCTCAAAGGAGGCATTGTCTCCCGGTCCCTGTGAGCCTCCCCACTTCAAAGCTGTCCCTTAACGATCACAGACAAGCCGCCCCAATTGATCATTTTCATACTTTTCTCTCTCACAATACAATATTGCCAGGTCAGATTACTTTGGTATTTCTCAACACAGCTCTATTTTGTTTCACAAAAACAATAATACATTCAGGTAATACTAACAACAACTCTTCCTAGCTCTTATGTTGCACTTTTTCGGCCCACTGGATCCCAAAGAGCTTCACAAGTCTAAGGGGATCCACTTCAACCTCCACTGAAGTGAAGGACCCATCTGGACGACACATGGCAGCCATTCGGCACCAGCAGCCATGCTACAAGGCAGGTCAGGTGGAGAAGTGAGAAACTGCTCCACCAATTGAATAAATGTAGGTAAAGCAAGATTGCACAAGTGGAAATTAGTCAGGAAACTTGGGTTAACACTTTTACTTTTAAAAGAAGTGCCAGGAGATGTATACAGTTTAACATCATAGCAATATTTCAATTAAAGGAACTTCATACGATACTGGATTTTTTTTTGTCAAAATTATCTCCACCTAATTGAGACCACCTGTTTAATTGATGAGAGTAAAATTGTTCCATGCCTTTAGAAATTGGTGATTTAGAGGCTGCTGAGAAAACCTGCTGGACTAGGGCTCTCCAAAACCCTTAGAGAAATTAGAGGTGAACTTGAGAAATTCTACCCCAGAACCAACCTGGCCCAGACTTGCTTAGCTTCTGATATTTGATGTGACTATATGAGAAGGTGGTAATGCTCTTGTCAGGTAAGGATTTCCTGTCTTGCATATTTCCTTTAAAAGTATGTTATACCCATTCATACTCAATAGTTTTTAGTCCAATATAGAGTCATGGTACCTAGAACCTAGTTCTGAAGATAATGGGTTCAAGATAGAATACAATCTGAATGGGATGTCATATCCATAAACATGCGTTTCTCAACTTCACTTTACTGCACTCAGCTAAAGCATAGACCACTTCATAATCTGTCCATTCATTATAAGACAGTTATTTATTTCTGCTAAAGGTGGCAGGATCCTAAAGCCTATACTAGAAGGATAGGGATGCAGAATTACTTCCTTCCTAAAGTTTCCTGCACCATGGAGACGACAATTTAAAATCCCACCTGTACCATGTCTGGCCTGGCTAACTTAGTGATGGGATGATGGATACTTGGTTCTGCCTCTTCTGGGCACCCGTGCTGATCTTGTGGTAACCTGTGTGAGAAGCCAGTGTCATTTGGAACAGTATCAGTCATCCTGCTGACATTTGAACTGTCAACTATATCCAGAGTCAAAAAAGTAATTCATATTACAAAAACCCATCCTATCAAGGCACAGAAGGCTTCACTCTTCTTTTTGATTCTTAGCAGTCAATTACATTCTAAATATATATACTGTATATCAGTATGCATCAGCTTGATATTCTATTATTTAGGGATTGTCCTACCTTTGAGGTCAAGTTACATACTGTACCAGTCACACATTTTGTATAAAATGCACTGTAAAGTGCATGCAAAATATACTGTAAATTGGAGTCAACATTACAAAAAATTGCCTACATGAATATTGTGCTGTTAACACCGGTAAAAAATTGTTAACGAGCAAAATATTGCAACTTAAAACATAAAATCCCCCGAGTGCTGACTGGCTTGTGATGACAGCATAATCTGCAATGCCAACATACGTGTGTGAGTGTGTGTAATCGGCTCATCGCCAATCTTTCTGTACATCAAGGAGAACACACGCTTCCTAATGGTCGGCTGATGCTTTTGTAGAGAAGATCCTGCCTCCCCACCCCGGTTCGGGACTGTGTAAGAAAACACTGAACTGTTTCCAGCCCCTTCTGTGCACCCACACTGCACAATGGAGTTCAGAACTGTTAGCTAACCCAGGCAGAGCGAGATGGCATGAAAACGCGGGCGGTCTCTTTCATCCCTCCCCCTTTGATGTGCTTTGATTAAACTGTCCTCCATTGTTCCCCAATGTTGTGGGCACTGACGGCCTGTTCCAGGGCCAAGCTGTGGTGCTCTGTCCCCAAAGGGATCACTATAGGAGAGTGTGGAATGAATATGCTAACAAAATGAGCAAAAGGTGAATAATGCTAAGTAAGGTAGAAGATAAGTCACCAGTCTTCTTACTGAGAAGGTTGAATTTTGTCACACTGTTTTCTTACTATGTTTTTTACGGGAAGGAAATCAGAAAAATACATAAAGAAGCTCAGATGGCTACATCCATTTACATTTCAGCCGTTTTACTAAAGTAGTGTACTTCTCCAGAAGTCTGTTAAAACTGTCCTCATCACACCTCTGTTATTGTTTTCCTATTCAAACTCTTCCTGAGAGGAGTTTCAAGTCAGTGACTCTGTAATGACTGATTACTGGTCCCTGAGCATAAAAGTTTTTGATGGAGTTGAAAACAAAAGTTATTACCTTTTAAACTTACGGGTCAATTTCTGTTCACATTTTTCACTGAGATTAAAAGGATTACCATAATGCAAAAAGAGAAATTTGCCATCAGACCCATCCCCATAACTACGAGAAACTAAATGACACATAAAAACCATCATCATTCCAGAGCAGTTCACTTGGTGAAATTCTCCTCTCTTATTACAGAAAGAGCCCTTCATTCATTAGAATGTACTCCAGGAGGAGCTGACTAGTCTTGATTGACTAGCACTGGGTCACACACAGTCAGCTGAGATCCTAGCTCAGCTGCAAAGTAGGAACCCCTGGGGCCAAACACCCAAGAGCCATGTGTTGTTCACTGTATTTTAAAAACATTTCCATCCAAAAATTGATGTACAGCTTAATGACAATCACTGTTAGGGACAGGTGGCTTACTCTTTTGTTTTGCTGTGATTTAATTAAAAACACTCTTTGTTCAAGAGATACAAAAATATGCTTTTGGGTGATCTGCATTTACAAATACAAAATACTGCTTTCATGCACAGCTTCTGTCACAGTATTTCCGAAAAACTAAATATAGGCTTTTGACACAGGGTAAAAAGACTGTTAAGTGATAATTTACAATTCAATTACAACTCCCCAAAATTACATGTACTGTAATACTGTTCAAGAACTTCAAAAAAAGCAAGGGCTGGTAAAATAATGTAATAATTGTCTTCTTAATAGGAGACTGATTCATTCACTAATAATAATTTGCCAGCTGTCCCATTTCATTTGAAGAAGAAGTTTTAGATAGACCAGATTTCGCAAACCAAACTGGAATTTAGCAAGGACACATGGGTTAACTCACCTACTCTTAGGCCATGGGATCACAACCAAAGTTTAACACATCACCCAAAGGATAACACCTTCCCCAGCACACTGTTCTCAGTAGAGATTATGATGCATAGGGAATAGTGCCACCTACTGGTCTACCAACATTTCTTTACAACACCAATCTGGTTTTCCCTGGAGGTCTCCCATCCCATTACTCACCAAGACTCGCAAAGCATCTGAGATTTGTTTTATTTACATGCAACATTCTGTAAACGTCAATTAAAGATGAACCTTTAATAATTCATCAACTGTTTCTAATGAAACTTTTCTGTTTCTAAGTGTCCTAAATTTCTCTTCAATTACTCCACACTTTACACATATTTCCCAAGGGAAAAGCATTATTATTATTTTGCCAGACTCAACTCAGCTGTGTAAAAGTAATGGGTTTTGTAACGTTTTGTTTTTTTTAAACAGCCGTCAGCTCAGTGTGAGGGGTCTCTCATTCCCTCATTTAAGGGGTCCACAAAATCCCGGGGCCTGCAGGCTTGAACTTGAGCTAATTGTGCAGATCGTTATTTTATTCTCGTGATTAACCCTCGGCAGGGGGGCGCTGCGTCTGGGCCTTGGCGATTGTCCGTACAGGCAGTCTCCCTGTGCTGTCGCTGAAGGGGTCCTGAAAAGTAAAATAACTCTCATATCTTCACAGTGTGGGGGATGACGCACATTTCAAGCCAGCTGCAGCTGTCGCACAGAGAGGCCAGGGTTTTGTACGACTCAGGCGTATCAGAGTCTTACATAAAAAAACAACAAAACGGACACACACAGTTACGAAAACCTCAACACCCCCAATGAAGAGCAGCCAGGTACTGTCAACAGTTATGGAACCCTTTCCCATTGTGATCTGGTGAATGAAACCAAAAGTAGGTCACTGGGGTACGTAGACAAAAAATCATGTTAAAAGACCAGACGTTGTTAGTTTATAACATTGGCTCTTTCCTCAGGGACCACTGCCTGAGTCAAGCTGAAAAGCAGTAATTTAATTTTAAAAGAACTTAGTGGTCACATATGGATTTTAGGTGTACAGTACATGCCAAATATTGTGCTAAATAAAATTAGTTTGCATTTTTACGGCACTGAGTGCCAACACAAAATAGGTTGTAGCACATAAGAGCAAGTCGTAAAAAGAATAAGCAACACTTAATTTTAAAGATGTGAATAAAGCAGACATTGGAAACCACTGACCAAAGGGCTTCTTCAAGACAGAGCTGCATGCCAAGCAACTACAAAGTTTGTATTAAATAAAAAGCAAAGGTATGACAGATATATTGGCACATTACAATTACACATCATTAACTTTTACCTGTATCTCAGAAAACAGGTATTGTAATACAGGTTTTCATTTTGGTTAATTTTAGAAAACTGCAAGGTGTAAATACCTTTTGTGGGGAAGGGAAAAATCAAGTATTGCAGTTGTCAAACTAAATTAGGTAGTCTATTTCTTTCTCTTTATTTAAAGTTGTATTTTGTGAAATAAAAATAAATCAAATAATAATGACATTCTCCATTGATTGAAGGTTAATTTCAGACACCAAGACATCCACATATAAACAAAACAATCCAGTATGAAAATGAAATCATATGCAGTCAATATTTATACTGCTGATCTTTGAAACTCCTCAGACTAACTCAGGGTTTCTCCCTGAGGGGAATAGTAACAAAATGTTCTTAATTCAAATCCATATGAGTTTAGCTTCCTACAATAACAAACACAACACAACATTCCTGTATTTTTTATACTTCCTTCAATTTTCTTCCTTTATGCCCACACCTCTTTGTTCCACTAAAAACTATTGACCATCCTACTGAAACCATCAAATTTAGAATTCAATGTGCCTCATTTACTCTTGAAACTCCTAGCCCGTTGAAGCACACTGGAGAAAAATATGGTGACAGAACAAATTACATTTTAAAGGAGGGGGAAAAACAAAATCGCTCTAACTGCTACAATTTTTATTTTCTTTTTTCGCAAAAACACTCAGTTTTCCACAGTGGTGCAGCAAGATTCCCCTCAGTAAGGCTTACGGACAGGCGAGGAGCACAGGCTGATCCGTGAGCTTAGTGTTGGACTGGTCCTTTCGTCTTGGACATCATCTTCGACAGCGGCCTCTGATCACTGGGCTGGGAGCCTTCCCAATCCAGCGAGGAGGAGTCCATTTCTTGTGAGGAGGGCAAGGCTGTTGCCTTCAATGTTTTCTTGATGTTACTCACCTAAAAAATATGTTTTATAAAACATGTAGCAATATGACAGCAAACCTAAACCTTAGGCTTTAGGGATCAAAACTTTTCTCATCAACATACTTATTCTAGAAAAAAGCACCATTGTTTGAGGATATCCTTATGAGCCTGAATCAAAAACCAAGGAGCTGACAGGTAAAATTATTTACTCTCCAGAAGATACATTTCATGTTTCTTTTATTAGCATTCATAGTCCCTAATAATGAACCTACTTCTGTTTCAGATCGCTGCTGAGCTCTGAGATGATTCTTTCGACACAGATTCACCCTGTTGATCTGCAGTTCGATCGCTGATGTGACCGATTCACAGCTACTGCACCTGCAAAAACGCAGGAAGCCAGCAATGAAACTTGGACAATGTAATCCCTAAGAAATTAAATGCAGCCTAAAGCACATTAGGCACACCAGCTGGGAAGAAACATTGTTTTTCAAAGTCAATGGTGTAAAAAACTACCATTTTGTTGATTAGCTTTAAAGAAGAATATATACATTTTGAAAGATGAATAAAAGTAATTAACACTGGTAAAAAACCAAGGCATTAAATTGTACTTTTAATGAATTGAAATTGAGTCTCTAAGATCCAGCTGAAGTGCATGTTCATAGGCTGCACAAGTGACCATCATTCACATGTATTATTACTGTATAGGTGCATACTGTATAAATATTTAGAATGGAACTGCTACATCTCACATTTCTGAAAGAACAAGTAAAAAAAGGACTGAAAATTATGGGTCTGGCTGTGACAGGAGAGCACAGAAAAAGGTGAAGGAGAAAAAGTCAATACATACCACTGCTGGAGCGTGTCTACGATGCTACTGATGTTCCTGGCTTGGATATCCCGGCTGACACAGAGATCCACTTCAAGGAGCTGCCTACGTTGGTCCAGCTTTCCCCGGATGACATCAGTGTAGACAGCTTCAATGATCAGGTCCTCTAACTCGCGCAGATTCTTTATTTCCAAGTCCTTCAGCAGCACTGAGTAAGGAATGCTCTGCTAAAGATCACACATAAAAATCAAAAAGTAACACTGCAGGTCAAATCGTATTTTTGTTGTAAATTACAAAACTAGTGTTGAAAACATTGTCGCGCTGAACTCCATCACACTCTTAACGGTAAAAATATGTACAGTATACCCCTATGTTTCAATGACAAAACCTAAATACTAAAAAGATTAAATAAGCAAGCCCATCAAGTAGTATATAAAAGCATATCGATGGCATGAAGGCATAGATGAATGCGACATATTGGCTCCTTGTGTTTTTCCTTAATGATTCACACTAAGCGCGACATACAATATGTTAAATCCCCTCACTACCTGAGCCCAATCCACTCTCTCAATAATGAGGTGATTTAGTGGCTTATGCAACAGTCTTGCAACAAAGCCATACCTTGTCATAGTCAAGTATCAATTTCCAACTAGATACAATACCATTTAACCAATTTAAAAAAAATGTAAACTTTATGTTTCTAAACATATACATGCATAAAAGAAGGATACATGTTTTTTTAATGTTCAGTATAATGAATCCAGGGCTGTAACATTTCTTTTCCCTACCCCAGAACACAGTCTCCTAACTTACCTTTAAGAGGCCAACTGTCAAGATGCTGTTTTAGTTATTTAGTCCAAACACATTGAGATTTTAAAGTTGAATTGAGTGCCTTAAGGACAATTGCAACAAACATCTCTACCGATAAAAAAACAAAAAACCATACTACAGTGCCACCTACTGACAACTAAATGTACCTGCATTCGTGCTGCCAAGTTGACAATGGTCAGGTGCTTCAATTTGTTCTGCTGGGTGTGAGTTAAGGTAGGCAGTGTTTCTTTGTTTGCTGAAATGACGCAAGAGATACTGGTGAAAATGCACTACATGCTTTCTTTTCTGTATATCTACTGTAAGTGTGAACTACAGGTTGTATCTTACCTATGTAATCAAGGTAAGTACCATAAGCAAACACATTTAAGAGTTGAAAATATCCTTTGTTGGGACCTTCTGAAAGCTGTAGAAACATAAGAAACATTTTAAACCTGAAGCTTTTTTGCATCATAGCAGTGGAATCTCAATTTACAAGATGAGATCTTATCATTATTAGCAAATGCAAATATATTTATTCTGAACTGCATTAATACGCTGTTGACATACAGTAAATTGTACTTTCCCCTACTTTTTGCTTAAACCCTGTAGTGCATGACAAAATCTCAACATAAATGCACTACCATATTGAACTTTAAACACTTTTAACATAATGTGAAAGGTGGGGAATCTATTTTGATTCACAATCATAATACAACCATCATCAGAAAACATGTTTTTCCTAGTAAGGATATTCTCTCATCTAAAGAGGTTACTATTGAGTTTGGAATGAGGTTGCACTTAATGTCCTAGGATATTAGCAGTACCCTCCTCTGTAAAGGTCCAATATTTCTTCATTAATCACCTAGATCCCAATTCTGATCATGATCTAGTTGTTTTACTCTGGGTTCTTCTCAGTATGCGTCCCTTTCCTATATTGCTTGCTGTGACTTTGTGACTGTCCTATCCACATTCAATGCTTATCACCTCTTTATTCTAAAATGGCCCATCTAATCTACAGTAGCTAAAACAAGGACATGTATTTATTATTTCACAAAGTCCTATGAAACACTTTCCCAGACTCACCTCCTGGACACAGGGCAAATCCAGAAGCTCTCCAAATACATACACTCCAGGTGCTTCTAGCACCTGATTAATGAGAGCAATCAACGCTGATCCTTTAGTGTTTCGTGCTAGTAAAATAAACTGCTCCAAAGAACTGCTGGGACATTTCAGTTCCCCTGCCATAATGGGAAAAATCTGCAGACAGCGGGGAAATGACAAGAGTTACCAAAAACATGTGATGGACAGTCAATAATTCATCTTGAGCTCCATTTCGAGCTTTATCTTATTTCACCCGTACCTACTGTAATATTACCAGAGCAAGTCCCACCCACTCTGAAATTAAAATAAGTGCCACGTTTGTTCATGCCACTTAGTGATTACAACATTGGAGACCAGAACTTCCCAAGATGCCCCCAGGTTGTATGCAGATAGATTTGACAGCGTCTTGATGGTAAACTGGGTGAGACAATTCTAATGGATGATTGTGAATGCATGTGAAAATGAATGGAAATTAATGTACCTACTTAAAACAAGGTACAGTACAGCATTATTAAAGCAGGGTGTTAAATACAGATATCAGGTCACAAATTAATCACAAAGGCATACAGTAGGTTGTATTGTGATGGAAAGACAAGCACTCAACACCTCATCCTATAGTTTGCTACATTAAGTACTGGACAATGTGTGTAAGGCTAGGAAGTTAGGATAGTAAATTTCAAGCACTGGAGAGGCCTTTTTCAAAAATCCTAAAAAATGATGTATGAAAGACTGGTCTTTTCCCCCTCAAGCTAAAATATTATTTCAGAATTTGAGTGTCCTTGTACTATATTGTAAAATCCAAGACCCTGACTAAGAAAAACGCGAAAATGCCTCGTCTTCAGTCCAAAGCAGGGTTAATCACATATTGTTTGATTGTGGGACATACGTTTTGAAGATATCAAAGGAAGAACATCAAAGCACAACACCAGAGCGCAGAATTAGTTTGATTCCATTCAAAACGGAAGGCAGTAGTTAAATACGAGTTAATGAGGTATGCTCACAGTTATCGTGCAACAGCGCAAGACTCATCTCCCTTCACTCAGGTACTGTAACTCAGGATCATAATATAATAAATCCATCCATCAACATGGCATTTATATCGTGTAAGAACATAATCTACGGTGCCTGTATATATACGGAAATTATATGTTAACTATAAATTATTGATTGAACGCAGCTTCAACAAAACGGAATCGACCTAATATTTTACTGGTCACTGCAACTGTTTGGAGGTACACTTATTCGTTTAAAGGGCGCATAAATCTACAAGCTACCTGAAGTCCTCCTCGTGTTGTGTTGTGTTTCGTGTTTTTTTTAACTATTTTTTTTTTTTGGTTTTGTTTAGCGTTTTACCGGTTGTCAAGCAGCTATGACGATCTTTCTAGAATCTCCTCCTATACCTTTTCCTCCAGAGCAGGCAGGCACACCACCGCTCAGCGCTTCCAGCTTGCGTGTACTCCGTGGACGCATGCGCAAAAGAGGCTACACGTCTTTGCGGGCCTTCTGGAGATTTGCAGTACCAGAACCTGTTTTTTTTTTGTATTTTCTGCAAGCTTATTTTTGGGGGTTAAATATTTGTAGGTTCTGTATTACTCCTTTCTGATTGTCTGTTTATTCTAGTTATTTAAAAAGGAAATTAATACTAAATTCTATTATGCGTGCCTGAATACCTCAAATAATTAACATATGGTAATTTAAAATTTAATATTCAGTGCATGCTGACAATAGGTACATAAATTGATATCTCAAGTACACAACAAAATATCTGATTGTAAAGTGCTTAGATATTAACTAAATTGTATGTGTTCTATATGTTAATTGATGGTTTATATTTTACAAACATAACAAATATGCTTACGTTATTTTTGGATTAAATGTACATAAAATATATTAAATTATGCTTTGCTTGCCACAGTAGTGCAGATATTGAAAAAGTTTATATATATATGTAAATATAAATCTGAGGAAATGTTTAAATATAATTAACTTCTGCTGCAAATAAATAAAAATGACATGCTGTATAAGTTAAAACCATGTCTAAATCCAGATTTAGTCAATCTTTTTAGTCAATAACAACAGCAAGTGACAAGTGGTCCCTAACAGCAGTTCAAACAGGACCACCTGGTTCAGTCAAACTTCAGTCCTGAAATCCTTTGAATAGTTAAAAGTTAGTTAAAAAAACGGTAATCCAGAGAAAACACGACAGCTGTAATCAATGGTTAGTGTTCCACAAGCGACACAGGCCATCATGATCGAATACTAGGCAATTAAAAGCCCTCCTGTTGAGTATAAACTGACAACACTGTGCACAGTGAACTGTGTTTCAAATTGCAATACCAATATTGAAGTAAGCAGTTAATCTCCTGCTTTTTACAGCAACACAGAATCTGCACCGAAGTGAAAGTGCTATACATCAGTAAAAATACAGTCTGCACCCACTGCTGATGTCTTCTGTGTAGATTTGGAATTCCTGTCATTTTTGTGTACAAATTCCTTCCCCATCTTCCTTTATTGTGTACTTGAGTGGTCTGACACCATGGCACAGTTACTGTATGATAAATAAGAAATGGAAGGAGAAACCAGTCCCACCTCTTACTATAGTTTAAAATCTACCATAGAAGAGCTTGAGCTAGTGACCATAACAATAAAAGGAACTACGTTTTATTTTCCTTTCTTTTTCAGAATGCCCCTGTTTATTAATAGTGTGTGCACAGTGATAGTTATTTAGTTACAGTACCTGCTTGGGTTTACTTAAGGTAAATAGAGTATCCAAGGAAGCTTTTCCATCTGTGAGGGCACAGGGGAGAGGAGACACTTAGTCAGAGAGAACAAGGTGTTGTCTTTTGCTCATTTAAGGACTTTTGTATGCCACTTTCAGGTTTCAAGACAAAATGGAGCGACTGTAGCTGGATAAGAGAACTTCTGAATTGAAAAGAAACAAAGGTGAATTGTTTTTTTTACTTATTTCCTTAGCAAACCTCTCTTTTTTTATATCCCAGCCAAAGCATTTTGAGATTTGCATCAATGAGTGTCGGTGTTATAATGTTATCCAAAAAAATGTTCTAAAATAAAGTGATATCCCTAAACCATACTGGATGTAAAACAAACCTTTCTTCTTAGTTTATTTCCTCCCTTGAGAAAAATAAAAGGCGAACACATTGGAAAAGATTGTTTAATCGGTTATTAAAATAATGTACTGACTGGATGTGAGCTGCACACTGTAAATAAAACGTTTATTTGTAAGGTGAATGACAAATCTAGCTTTTAAAAATTAAGAATTCCTTTTTTCTTTTACAGACATTGTGAAGCTTTCAATTCACAACATAGTCTTCAAACTTGTTTACTTTTGGGAAATCTATGCACTGGACTTAATGCAAACAAGCTACTCTTTGATTAAAGGAGAAAAGATTTGTCTCACTGTCCTACCAGTTTTTAGACATGTAGCTTTGCCATTGCTCAGTTAAAAGTGTAATATTGTATTTTGGCAATCTCCCCCTTTGCAGTAACCAGCAAAGCTTGCTTGAATTTCTGTGGGTGATCTATTAACAGTTTGAAGATGAATGTGTGTTATATGCCCAGGAGCAGCGTATTATATGCTAGAAAACCACATTTTGCTGTACACAACTCCAGGAAGGCTGGCTTAATGATTAACCTGAAGCAATACTGATTCCACTGCCAAACCCAGGCTCTGGTTTTCAGTGATTATTTCTGCTTATAATACAGTACTTCATTAGATTTGTTGGCACAGCCAATTATTTTCAGATGTTTTAGAGTTGGATAACAAAACTGTTAAACAATAAACGTGCTACATCATTGTAAGACGCTTGCTCAAAAAAATTGTTTAAGAACACAAGTACACATAAAAATAAAATGAGGACCATCTGCACATTTTGCCCACTTGGTAGTTAATAACTAATAGATCAAAGAATCTATATCACAACTGGTAACCACATGAAGCTAGGCAGGTGTGAGCCTGGCCAGTATGAGAATGGGAGACCTCCTGGGAAGCCTAATGTTGCTGCTGGAAGAGGTGTTTGTGTGACCAGTAGGGAGACCCTCCAGTGTATGGATTGTGATGTGCCAGTACAGTCATAGGGACATTATACTGTAAAATGAGGTGCCATCCTTCAGACAAGACGTACTGTAAAACTGAGGTCCTGACTCTCTGTTGCCATTAAAAATCCCAGGTTGTTTCTCAAAAAGAGTAGGGGTATTAACCCCCACGTCCTGGCCACATTTCCCATTGGTCCTTACCAATCATGGCCTCCTAATAATCCTCTTCTATAAATTGGCTTCATTACTCTGTTCCCCTCCCCACTGATAGCTGATGTGGCTGCCGTCGCATCATCCAGGTGGATGCTGCACATTGGTGGTGAAGGAGGGGAGTCCCCATCACCTGTAAAGTGCTTTAAGTGGAGTGTCCAGAAGAGCACTGTTTAAGTTAATGGATTATTAATATTGAGTAGTGCAGCTGGACAAAATGCCTATTTTACTCTATTTACTGTATGTTTATATTGTCTTCCATCTACTGTTAGTATTTGAGAGTTACAAGCTTCTGTCTGTCTAGGTCAAATTCGTGGAAGTATTCCATACAAATGAACTTTCTCGGGTGTATAACAGTAGGTTTAAGTGGCTCATATAATTTTCTTATTGCTAATTTTGCTATGGCTCATAAAAGTAAAATCATACTGTATGTGTAGGGATAAAAGTAAAACTATATAAGCTAAGCAAGGCAGTTTCAGCAATTAACATTTTTAATTTGAAATGATTTCTCATTTACTGTAGCGCAGATAAAGTTCTTCACAATATTTACACATGAAAATCAATCAGAGGTGTTAGCAGACGTTTTTTGTTACATTATGAACTAATTCCCTCCTAACTCTGTAAAACACTTGCACTCTATTCTACTGCATGTACTGTATTGAAATTGAGATATTGACATTCCGATATTATGAAATAATTCCTCATTTTATTTGCCATGATGATCTGTTACACTCATAAAGAACTGTTCTTAAAAGACCTTTCAAAGCTGTTAATTAAAATGAGAGAGTGGGAGGAGTCACAGTGGTATCAGCACGAGGAAAATGAGAAGTATTCTGCATTTCCCGTTACACACCTCTTCATACACAACTTTCAGAGCCCAGTCCAGTAGATGTTATGCTGTAGTTCTTGAAGTGTGATTGAAATATCCTGTGTCTGTGGGCAAGGTTCTGGCCCTTTAATGTTTACGCTAACGGTAACTGTTACTTGCCTCATGTGACAGAGTGTGTTTGTCCAGCTACTGTTGTATATATTGCCTCTTGCTTACTCTGTGCCAACCGAGAGATGACTTGACAAACAATATAGCAAGGCAATATAGCAAGGCAATATAGGCCTTGCATCTCAATTACTAACCCAGCAAATAATGGGGGACATGCAATAACAAATCCTGACAGGATCCTTGACAGTAAGCTACCATAAAGAAATAAAGCAATAATAATGAAATAACAAAAGAAATGATATGCTAGTTGTAATCAGATTCCTGGTTGAAATATATTTACTCTGTGTGGCCACTGATTTATTCGGACCTGTCTGTCCTGTTTCATTTGGTTACTGCTTGAATAACGAATGGAAATCAGATTAATTACGTGCTGCGACAGACTTAATCTGTGTGTGCCTACCGTGATTAAAAGTTATAAAAGCAGAAATGTAATGTTTGTGGGATATAAACTTCAATATCTCACATTATTTATAATGTGATGTTGGGTGACAGCACAGGTTGTAACTTGTGTTACTAGGTAACCATTTGTTACCAGGTGAGATTGCCCGTTTTAACTTCGGACTTCTCTCTGACCTCGCAGATGCCCATGGAGAGGCCTCGCTCGAAAAGCATTCCATTCCACAGCATTCCTTCAGGTCAGGAGGGCAGCCGAGCCCCAGTGGCGAGGCCTAAATCTGCCAAGGGACGGCAGCGGACCAGACTGCAGACGTCCAGCCCAGTGCAGTGGTTCCCAAACTTGCTGCCCCGCAATAACCTGGCAGAGAACCCCATTACCCCGGGAAGGCGAGCCCCCAGAGGCACTGACGGGCAGAAGTACCAGGCTAGACAGCTTCCCCCGGACGTTGACATCCCAGCTCTGGAAGACTGGCAGTGCCAGCAGCGCAGAAACAGCTCCCTGGAGAAAGAGCAACCCTGGGAACATTCCCACAATCCACAAACCCCCTCAACCCCGATTCAGAGCCCGTCCGTGCTCATGACCCGTATCCCATC